GCCCTGCATCCCCACCGCCCAGTAAGAAAAGCCAGGCTAGTAGGCACACAGGAGAGACTACCAAAATAGAGTCAACCCAGGTCCCAGGTTTTTGGTCTGCAACCTGCAGCCTCTAACTGTAGCCAGGCTCAGGTGCCTGTGTAAGAGTAGGGTACCTAAAAAAACTCCTCTTGCCTTGTATTTACTTTATGTGCTTTAACTTTTGGAGGTGGGGGGAACTCATTCAAGCTGCCAGTATTGATCTACGGACTGTAGCAGTACACTGAGCTGTGCTGTTGCAGGGATGGCGAGATGCTCTGGGGGTGTATTGGATACCTCCAGTTTCTTCATTTTTGGATTGAGTTTTCTTTTCTCGATGTTGGTCTTCATATCACCTCAACGTTTAGACTTGTGAAGAAACAAGTCTTATGAGGGTAATAGTCTTGAAATGAGACACTGTACAGAATTGGAAGGCAGAAAGAAAGACTTGTTCATTGTGATACTTTCTGTAGGTGGCCAGTTTGTTTCTCATAGGGAAATTTTGGATCATCTGTCATGCTGGCTCCTAAGGAACTGTTGTAAGCAGCTCATCAAGAGTTGAAGTTCATGTAGCCTTGTTGGGAATATGGAAAAGAAGAAAGCCACAGGACTGCCCGTTCAGTCTGGGAAGATCTGGATGATTCTGCACTTGCAAAAATGACTTGAAATTTATGTATAGACTCTTGTACCAATCCATCTTCAGCTGACTGTTGTTAAGATAGCCCTGCTCCAAAGCAGGGGTGGAATGTTCTGCTTTCACCATGCATTTTATAAACAGATTTTCTTTTTTGAATTGACCTGTAGATTGTAGGTCCCTTTTGTATATAACCCTCATTTTTTTGCTTTAAAAAAGTCTGTTCATATTTAATGCCCTGTATTCATCAATGATTTGTGTTCAACATTATTTGAACCATTTGCCATTACTGAAAAAGAAATACTTATTTGTGTTTTAAATAAAACTGATATAGGAAATAAAAAAAAAAAAAAAAAATTTATTTGAACCATTTGCCATTACTGAAAAAGAAATACTTATTTGTGTTTTAAATAAAACTGATATAGGAAATAAAAAAATAAGAGTAGGGTACTTGAGCATTTTCTTAAGTGTCTTTCAACCATTTTAGATTCTTCTGCTGAGAGTTCTCTGTTTAGATCTGTACTTCATTTTTTATTGAATTATTTGTTCTTTTGATGACCAATTTCCTGAGTACTTTGTATATTTTAGAGATCAGACCTCTGTCTGATGTGAGGTTGGTGAAGATCTTTTCCCATTCTGTAGGCTGTCGTTTTGTCTTGTTTCTTGTGTCCTTTGCTTTACAGAAGCTTTTCAGTTTCTGAAGGTCCCATTTATTGTTTCTCTCAGTGTCTGTGCTACTGGGGTTGTATTTAGGAAGTGGTCTCCTATGTCAATGCATTCAAGTGTACTTCCCACTTTTTCTTCTATGAGGTTCAGTGCGGCTGGCCTTATGTTGAGGTCTTTGATCCATTTAGACTTGATTTGTGTGCATGATGATAGATATGGGTCTATTTTCATTCTTCTACATGTTGATATACAGTTATGCCAGCACCACTTGTTAAATATGCTTTCTTTTTTCCATTTTATATTTTTTTTGTTTCTTTGCCAAAATCAGGTGTTTGTAGGTGTGTGGATTAATATCCAGGTCTTCAATTCAATTCCATTAGTCCTCCTGTTTTTATGCCAATGGCAGGCCCAGCAATACCCAAAGGATGCTCAATCATACCACAAGGACATGTGCTCAACTATGTTCATAGCAGCATTTTTTGTCATAGCCAGAATTTAAAAACAACCTAAATGCCCCTCGACCAAAAAATGGGTAAGGAAAGTGTAGTACATTTACACAATGGAGTACTACACAGCAGAAAAAAATAACATCTTGAATTTTGAGGGCAAATGTATGGATCTAGAAAACATCATATTGAGTGAAATAACCCAGACCTAGAAAGACAAATGTCATATGTACTCACTCATAAATCGTTTTTAAACATAAAGCAAAGAAAACCAGCCTACAAATCACAACCCCAGAGAACCTAGACAACAATGAAGACCCTAATAGAGACATACCTGGATCTAATTACATGGGAAGTATAAAAAGACAAGATCTCCTCAGTAAATTGGGAAGCATGGGGACCTTGGGAGAGTGTTGAAGGGGAGGGGAAAGGCAGGGAGGGGAGCAGAGAAAAATGTAGAGCTCAATAAAAATCAATTTAAAAAAGAGTAGGGTACTTTTCTGGTTCTTTCACTGCTGCTGAAGGTTACCTCCCATCCCAGCCACTCACCACCCAAACTCCACCCCTACACTCCACCCCTACACCCCACCCCTCCCCACCCCAACATCCCTGGCCCTCACACCTATACCGCCACCTCCTCCGCTAGCGCCACTCTGGCCTCTGCTTTCGTGGTTCCTGCCTTTTCTTTTATTTATTTATTTATTTATTTATTTATTTATTTATTTATTTTGGTTCCTGCCTTTTCTACACCAAACTCGCCGAAATCCTCCAGCATCCCCAAGGTCTTCACGGATGGATTCAGTCAAGCAGCCACCAGAGTTGGGTCTTCCCAGGGCCTCCAAACTCTTCCTGGGTATTTGCTGAAGCTTCCCACGGCCTCTTTGCCCTTCTGATCGCCTCCACCCCCATGTGTAGAAAGACAGCCCTGTACCAGTTAGGACAAGCTCTGTGACACTGGGGAATCTGAAGGTGTTCAGGGACACAACTGCCTTAGAAGTAGTAAAAGGTGGAAAGCAACGGTTAATCTGTGTGTTAGCTCTGGGATGCCATAGCAAAACACCTGAAGCAATAACTATTTTAAAAGATGGGCTTATTTTTAGAACATATCTGTTCGGCTATAAAAAAAATAATATATAACAATAGCACCTACTTCTATAATAGTAGCCAATTAAATCACATTTTAAAAATATTAGATTTCTAAAACTAAGCATAAAAATTTCAGACTGTTAGTTTTTTTTCTCTCTTTGTAAACCACAGAGTCTAATTAGAACTGCAGGCTACATGGGTATAGGGCCAGCACAGAGTGTGGGCCGCACCCATCCACAAAGCATTCTGTCCCCCAGCAACCACAGCTGCCAAGAGCTCCCAACTAGGAGAGGGGTTTTAGCAGCCTCTCCTCCATCCAGGTTTTGGCTCACAGTTCTGAAATCTCCAAAATTAGGCGGTCTTATTTGGTTGGGACTTTTTAAAAAGGTAGAACTTCCAGTCAGCATCTGGTGGGCTGGCATAGCTCACAAGCCAGGAAAAGAAATGGAAGCGATTGCGGGATCATCGCCCCTTAAAGGATGCCCCAGTAAGGAAAAATTTTCATTAGGATACAGGTTTTTACCTTGGAAACCAGGATCTTTTATCTAACGCATAGCAATCTGCATCAAAACTAAGAAGTTGCACATTGTTCTTTCAAAATTGAAAAGCAAGCCATGCGCTGTAAGAAGATACTGTCAAGCCTGACAAAGGGTCCTGGTGTGCAGAATACACAAAGGATAAGCACCCAGGATGGAGAAAGAACACATACACACAGGCTCTTCTGTAGCACAAAGTTTAATTGTTCAAAAAAAAACCCAAAACAAAAAAATAATAAAGTCAGATATGAGGGGGTGAAAGCTGAGGGATCGGAGAGGCAGAGCAGCAGCCAGTAAAGAGACCTTTTACCTCTACCAGTGCTCAGACAGAAAGGACGATCTTGTCAGCAGACTGTGTCCTTGACTACATCACCAGACTGCCTGTTTAGACTGCACTGAGTTCCTGTCTCCTCCAACCTTATATTCTTCTCTATGGACAACCATATCACTCCTGTCTCCACCTCCCTAGTGCTGGGATTAAAGGCATGGGATCACCTTTGTTTGAGCTCTTTCTCTCTCTTAAGACTGAAGTGAAGTCGTTTAGCCCAGGGTAGCCTTGAACTAACAGAGATCCCTCCGCCTCTGTCTCTCTGGAGTCCTGGGATTAAAGGTGTGTGCTTCCACTCCCTGGCCTGTAGCAGTTTAATGTTACACATTGATCTTCAGGCTTTGTTTGTTAAAACACAAAATATCACCACACTCTTCAAAGTATATAAGTGCCCAGGTCAGGTGAACAGATGGCCAGTCCACTTAGGAATGGATAAAAGGCAGATTAAGGTCACAGTCTAAGAGGTATCTATCCAATGAGAAAAACTATGACAATAAGAACTGTCATGGAAGATGTGACGAGAACTCCAATGTGATAAAGCAAGTATCCTAAATTTGATCAATTTCCACATGTTACTTATTTGAGGTAGTCGTTAAAGACAACAACAAAGAAAACAGAAGATTTCTTTATGTTGTATGTATTGAAATCTACTTTAGAATTAGTTAGAGGAAAGGTTTCCATTCATAAGCATACTGTCCTAAAAAGAAAAGTGAGCGTGGTATTTCAAAGCGTGATTTCCCTCACGCTCTGGCTGGTTCTGAATCCCTTATGAAGGCAGGTGTCTGGTGCTGGCACTGTCCCTCCACACCATGCCCCCTCTGCCACTCCAGAGTGCTACTTTAATACAGAAGGGTGAAGAAGAGGGAGAGCCCACCCACACTCCTCTCAACCTGGACAGGCTGGTGAAGCTCTGACCAGAATACAGCATAAAATGACACCCTAAAGTGATGTCATAAAGGGGTCCACAGCTCAAACTACTCACGGCAGACCCTGTCCCCTGAAGCCCTTGAGCCTCCATGAAGGAAGTTCATATTCTGTAATGCTGTAAAGGGTCCCAAGTGTCAAGGAGGGACCACAAACTAGGGCTTCATGACAATAGCAATTAAGTCCTACCCTGGAATTTGTCAGCCCTGGTGATACCATTGGTGGTAGGAGATAAGCCGTGATCCTCAATCCCTGGTTTCCAGCAGAAGTGGTGGAGACAAAGACCAAGAGTAGCTGTCATTCAGCTACTTGGGACCTTCCACAGCATCTCTAGAGCTAGAAAGGCCACAGGGACAGACAGCATGGGTATTCACGTTCTCCGCATGTCTTGCTTGGCATTCTTTCTATTACTGTTCCTATTACCACCTCCCATTTCTAAGGCTAAGAGCCTCCGCTACCGTGGCCCTGGCTGGAAACTCTTCCACCGCCTGAGCAAGGGCTCCAAAAGTTCCCAGCAACGCCAGGTTCAACAGATGAGGCGAAACTGGAGCCAGGGCGAGAGCCGAATGTCAGAGGACTGCCTGGGTGTTTTCGACCTCTACATCATCCTGGACAAGTGAGTTGGCCTCCTGCACTGTCCCTAGAGAGTCCTTGGGCATAAGCGGTAGGTCTGACTCTGTAGGACAGGCAAGATCATTGTGGGCAGACCCCGGGATGTAGGCTGTCACTGATTTCCTGAATGCAAGGAGGGCCAACACAGGCCTTCTGGATGGCTCTGTCCCCAGCATCTTGACCCTGATCTGGTCACCATGCCCCTCAGGCCCAGAGGCTACTAGGAGCTACCTATAGAGGGACCTTGGAGATTACCGTGGCCACTGTGGGCACTCTCTCAGCTTTGCTGCTCCAAGTAGCATTATTTTAGTGCCTTAAAGGTTCACCTTTTTTCTCCCGACACAAGAGCCTACCCTGGGAAGAGCCTGTTTTTTCTCAAGTTGGGCTGATCTTTAGACCCCTCCTGGCTGTGAAGAGAGGGACTGGAGATGGGGTCAGAGACCCAGAGAGGCTCAGGGCTTCTCTGGTGGTGCCCCTTCCAACTATCCAATTTCTTGGATTACAGAAATTTGCCGTGTGCTCTTAACTTCTATAAATGGGAAATCTTGCTTACACATCTATCTTCTGAGCTTAGCCATTTGACGTGTCTGTATTTTTCTCTTATTTTCATACATGTATGAAATGTATTTTAGCATTTCATTGCCATTTACCTGCTCTCCTCCTTCCCCTGTTAACCCTTTGCTCTCTCTCCCTGTCTACTCTCGTGTTTGTTTTTTGATGACCCAGTGAGTTTCATTAGATTGTGTACAGGTCCATTCTTTCCCAGGTTTTCCCTTTTTCTTTTTTTTTTTTTAACCCAATCTTGAGTGATAGTCCCCTGACCTCAGAGGGTGTGATAAATGTCTCACTTCCACCTGAGTTTCAAGTCATTCCACGTGGAAGGAATTACTTACTCTTTAACCAAGTACGAGCCTCTGTGATTGCTGCTGCTCATTGCAAAATACAAACAAACAAAATTTTTGGCCAAGGTTGTTTGGTCAAAGTCGATGCTGGTAGTAATCATAGTTGTTTAGAAAGATGTTTAATGGGTCCATTGTATCCTGTTAGCAAAACAGTAGCAGTAGCTTTCCCACCAAAGCCTATGATCTCCCCGCTACAGGCTTTTGACTATGTTTTATAAGACCAGATAAGAAATCCCTTTTGTCTAGTAGGACTCAAATTCAACCAGAAAGCAACTGGTAGGTAAAGAGAATGGAGCAGTAAGCGGGTTCGCCAAAGCTGAGCATATAGGGGAAGCCTTATGTAGCCTAACTACTTTGTACACTAACTTAAAATATTTTAAAAGAAGTTGGAACACAGTACCCCACATTGGTGAACAATGCTGCTCACAAAAGACATGGGTTATTACGTGAAAATCTCAGGGTGAGACACGGATACCTCTCCATATGTTACTGGCTTGGGGATCCCCAGAGGTACCCAAAACAACCCATGTTATTGCCATTTCTCTTGGCTGTCCACCATAACTAGTTGATAAGACCCGAATGTTGATGACACTCCATACTGTTGTTATATAGGACACAGAGAAATAAATCTTGAACTGGCCAAGACTGTCTCTCTCTCTCTCTCTCTCTCTCTCTCTCTCTCTCTCTCTCTCTCTCTCTCTGATGTATAGCTTTCATGGTCCTAGAAGGTGCTATTCAGGCTGTTGAGGGGGAAGAAATTAGTGGTCTTTATCTAGTGCTGGGCACTACATGTCACAATACTGACCTGCCAGGCAAGATGTATTCACTGGTGCTATAGCAGTTTATAGCTGTTTATGGGGCTAACATAATTTCATTCTTCTTTATGGTGAAGGAAAACACCATTGTATATACGTACCATGTTTTCATGGACTCCTTTCCTCTGCTGTTGAACAACAATAAACAAGGATAAGCAGGTATCTCTGTGGTAGGGCATAGAGTCCTTTGAGTGTATGCCCACAAGTATATTTCTCTACTGCATAGTAGTTTTTTGCTTTGGTCTTTGTTATTGTTGTTGTTTTCTTCAGAAATATCCATACTAACATCCATACCAGCAGTTTGTACTCCCACCAACAGTGAATAAGGACTCCTCTTTCTCTACACCTGTGTGGGCACTTACTATTGTTGGCTTTCTGGTCATAGCTATTCTGACAGGCCTGAGATTGATTCTCAGAGTGATTTTAATTGCTATTTCCCTGACGGCTAAAGGTGTTGAGCACTTTAAAAATTTATTAGTCATTTGATGTTGATGGAGGTTTCCGCTTCATTTCCTAATGTATGATCACTTTTAGAGAAGTTCCACAGGCTGCTGAGAAGAGCATACATTCTGTAATGTTTGGGTGGAATGTTCCAGAACTGTCTGCTGGGTTCATTTGAACTATGACATCATTTAATATTAATGTTTCTGGCTTTTTGTCAGGAAGACCAATTTATTGCTGACAATGGATGCTAAAGTCACCTTCTCCTACTGTGTTTTGGTTAAGTTGTAGTTTTATGTTTAGTGCTGTTGTTGCTGTTGTTTGTTTTAGTTTGTTTAGGTTTTGTTTTCTCAAGACAGGGTTTTCTTGTGTGGCTTTGGCTGCCCCAGAACACAGTCAGTAGACCAGGTTGTCGTCAGTCTCACAGAGGTCCACCTGCCTTTGCCTCCTGAGTGCTGTGATAAAAGGCATGTGCTGCCACCACTCAACTTTAGTAGTGGTTTTTTTTTATGAAATAAGGCGTGCCCATGCTCAGTGTGTATGTGTTTACAATTGCAATGTCCTCTTGATGGAGTCACCATAATCAGAAGAAAGTGAGTTTATCTCCAGGTTAGTTTTTACTTGAAGCCCTTTCTGTCAGCCCCTCGATGGTGTGAATCTTGTAACAGACAGGCAGGAAACAATGGAGAGCTTTGATCTGGCTCATGAATGGCTCAGTGGACTAGGCTATCCTGGTAGGCAAGACATGACAGCTACAGCTGGTATGATATGGGGGCCAACAAAGAGCTAGGAAGACCTAACAATCCTCAGGACCCAACCTATGCCCCCAATGTTCCACAAGCTCCAGAGTAATCTCTCCTGAGAAGGAGCTTTGATACTTAATAACCTATAACCCAAGAGTTTAATAAGGGAGCTCCAGGCCAAAGCTGGGTCACCTTCTAGGCCTTTCCTAGTGTTCAAAAGCCTTCTAATAACAATAGTGCCAGTAGCCCTGACCCACACATTCATGGACAGGACTGGGAATTGGTAAGTTAAAAGTCAGTAGAGGCAGAGTGGAAAGCCTCACACATCAAATCATAGGTAGCTCTTCCAATCAAGACATCATCCTTCATCGTGAGACAACACAACCCTCACCTACCATAATCAGGCACTGTGGGGAGCCGCTAAAGACCCTTTTGGGGACCTCAGTCTCTATAGATGAAGCTGTTTGGCTACCTTCTGCTCACTACTGACCCTGAAGAAGATCACCTCTCATGATGATCCACCCTGGTCAGCACTGACACAGCAACATGTTGCTAAAATAAAAATAAACAAACCAACAAATAAATAAAAACAATGAACACCTGGGAAGGCTAAAACTGCCCTTTCCTACCCTATGATGTTACGTCATACCTTGACATACGTCTCCTTTGTCTTCAGGTCAGGCAGTGTGGGCACAAACTGGATCCACGTTTATTCATTTGCGGAGGATTTGGTGAAGAAATTTCAGAAGTATGGCTTCTTCTGTCTGTAATCTCCTCTGTGCTTCAAGGGAGTAGTCCTCTTGTCTCTTAGATTTGATGGGCTTGAGATCCCCTCATAGAGGGAGCATAGGCCCAGGCTGGTGTGCTAACATGGGGGACAGCATCTAGTTGGGGTACAGCAACACTGGCTGATCCTCCTTGGGGATTCGGTGTCGTACAGTGACAGAGTCCACCCTCCAGGACCCCTCTGAGTGGGAAGGACACCATGATAGGTGGTAACCTATACAGAGCATAGAATGTTCAGGGCCAGAGGAGTGAGCTGGGGAGCTTGTCATATAAAGACAAAGGAAAATGCAGGAATCCTCAGAGAAAAGTCTCAGGGTCCTAGGGAAACTGGAAACGCGAAACTGAGTCCTCAAGGCAGGAGGACAAGCAGGGTCAAAGGGTGACATTACTGCGGCCACAGTGCTTATCAGACACAACTTAAGAGAGGTGTCTATGGCTCACAGGATCCAGGGGGTTCAGTCCCTCCTTCACAGGCATGGCAAGAGGAGCGTGTAGCCAAGGCTGTTCACACCGTGTAGACCAACACTAAGAGAGCTAATGGCAAGGACAGGGACCGGGCTCTAACTGTTGATGGTCTGACTTGATAATCTGCCTCAACCAGCTAGATACCACCTGAAGATTCTACAGCCTCTGAAATAGTGTCACCAGATGGGGAACGAGTGCTCAAAATCTGGGTTATAAGGGATGTTTCCAACTCAAACTATAGCAGTGACCCCCAGTAAGTGGATAGTCCCTAAGACTAGGGGAGTGAAGGTTGCTCAGGAAAGGCTGGGAGAAGAGGACCACAGGTAGATTGGGGACAAAGCCATAGTAGAGGTCATGCTAAATCAATGGAATCTGATTTCCTGCTGAGTGATAGGGAGAGAGGAGGGGGAGGCATGTGTGTGAAGGGCTTCCCAGACAGAGAGTGACCTTGTTGAGTTGGGAGGCAGAGAGGGTGAAGAAAGATGGCTAGAGATGCAAAGAATCTGATAGCCGGGACCAGGGATGATGATGATGTCCCCGTGGGGGAGCGTGAGAGCCTCTCTGCCTATTCAGAATGGGTGACCTGAGTGTGTGCCCATATGAAAGAGGAAAGGGTAGAAGGCAAAGGGAGAGAAAAGAGTGAGGGCAGATAAGAAGAGGGGGAGACAGACTGAGGGAGAGAAGAGGAGAAGAGAGGTGAAGCATGGGATGGAGAGGGGGTTGTCCTGACACGTTCTCTCTCGTCCCCGGAGCTACATATCTCTGTGGGCTTCAGAATCCTTTGCCGATTTCACCTTAACCCCTCACCTCTGAATGTCCCCAGTGCGAAGGAGCTGGGGTGGGAGCAGGGATTTTTGTGCATGTCTGCTTCCTGACAGACTGATGATCTAGTCCCTTGGCTTCTCAGTACATGTGCTTTGTCCCCAGCCCTAAAATGCGGATTTCCATCATCACCTTCTCAACAGAGGCTGAAGTTATCATACCACTCACCTCAGACAGGTAGGTATTGCCCAGTGGCCGGGACACTGGTACCTCGAGGAAACTGAAGGCTTGTAGAGCCGTCTGCGTCTCCAACATTGCCCATCCATAGGGGCCCAACTTGACCCCGAACCCCAGTTTACTAGCACCCTTAGGCCTGTACTTAAGCAGAATTCATAGGCTTGATACTTCTAGAAGTTCTCAACCCCTGAATCTTACCTAGGCCCTGCCTATGACAACATATGGGAACTGGGAAGGTACACATGTCAGTACCCTTAACACCCATAATAACAGGGGATTGGTGAGACATGCGTGTTCTCTGGGAATTCTGGCCTGTGTCGCTCTCTGCTTGGGTAAGTGAAACAGGGAGGCATCTGGGAAAGCCTGAGGAGAGCCCTGGAGTTTGGGAAGCATAGGTCCCCTGTGGTCATCAATCAATAAGGAAGCGTCAAGATGAGAGCCACAGGAAGATATGGGGAAGGGGTAGCCACAAAGTGGGGTGACCCAACAGTGAGAGCATCCTAGAGGTAAGAAGTTGGGGGCTTCTGACTGATGAGGAGGAAGATCAACTTTACCTGCTCTTCCAGAGACTCCGTACAAAGTTAGAAAGCCAGAAAGATGTGGAGACATGAAGGACTGTGGTGACTGGAGGTGTGAAAATCTCTGTCCTGCATCCTAAGGGAAAAGGCAGGAACAAGAGTGAGGGGACAACCTCAGGGAAGGGTCAAGAGTCTCTGAGTCTATGGACACGGCACCCAAGGTCCATCTGGGAGGTGGGGCAGGAACGGACTGACTCCCAAGGGTCCAGGCCAGGCCTGCTGCAGTGTACCCTAGTGGCTGGGTTTTGGGGAAACTTGATTAAATTTGAGTGGCAGAGAGAATCCCTGAGGGTGATTCTGGCAAGGAGTGCAGAGAAGCCATGGGGCATAGGAGAAATAGAAGGAGATGCTGGGTGTCTCAGGGGTTATCCTGGGCTGAGTGGAGAATAGAAATAGAAAAAGGATAGTGGGTTAGCTCAGGCAGAAGGACAGACTCTAAGGGCAGATAAAGGGGTAAGTGATGGGATGGCCAAAGGCTGGGGGTTGGCATAGAGTGGAGCTAAGCTGGCCAGAGGAAAGAGAACTGGACTGGGCTGTGCTGGCAAAGGGATGAGGGCAGAACTGTGGCTGGAACGCCACAGCTTGGGCCCTGATCATCTCATCTTCTAGTAAAATGTATATGGGCCAGGCATGGCCAGGCCTCAAGGCCTGGGTCCCAGTGATGGGAGCTAGTGGAGTCCACAGTCAGGCTCATATCTAAGTACACAGACTGCTGCCTTTAGCAGACTGGAGGGAAGGGAGTCAGGCCAGGGTGCTGTGACGGTGGAGACAGGAGCTGGTCAGTAAGTCAGCAGGGTGGCATGGCCCCCTCTAGACCTACACAGTGGATAATAGACTGTTCAGAAGGAGGGTGACCATGGCATTAGGTCACCCATTCAGAATGCAGAGACCCACTGTGAATCCCTAGCTTAAATCCCAGGATGTTCTCCAAGGACTCTGTCCAAATCTCCAAGGCCCTGGGTGCCTAAAAAACGTAAACAAACTCAAAGACAACCAGACCTTCCCGTGGGGCCCACTGAATTCCCTGCCCCATCCTGCCTTCATGCTCAGGGATCAGAGGAAGACCTGGCTCAGAAGGGAGAGAAGAGAGTATTCCTTGTCCAGTACCCTCTCTCAGCCGGGCAGCCTGCAGGGTGGACAAGGCCGTAGGACTGCTAAGAGATGTTTTGCCACTGCCAATATCTTTCATACCACTTTTCTGTTTTATCCCTTTCAGAGACGAAATCCAAAAGGGCCTTCTCACTCTCCTCGAAGAGGTGCCTACCGGATTCACACACATGCAGAAAGGGATTCATAAGGTACAGAGAGCTGTAGCCCCCTCTGGGCACAGCTACACTGGCTTGGTGTAGAGGGCCACATCTCTGCATCTCACCATTTCTTTTTCTTCTTTTCCTGGCAGGCCATAGAGCAGATCAAAAAGGCCAACTTGGAAGGTGAGCTGTCTGTGCCTTCAGTGGGGCGGGACCCACAGAGCTGGGCTCCCTACAGGGTCTGTGTGTAGATCCTAGCCTCTTCAAGTCTAACTCTTGAAGCCTGTCCCCCCCCCACACACACACATGTAGCTGGCCCCTCTGGAGCACAGCACCCCACTCAGGAGGCTTCAGAGAGGACCGGAAGCTGCGTGTGGTCATGTGTACGCTTTGTTCTCACTAGGGTCCTTGGCTTACAGATGGACTGGGAAATAGAAGAAAACACGGGGCCTGGGCAGACTGAGGACCCTGTGCTGGAAGCCAGGGTTTGGTTTCCCTCTGGCTGCTAAGTCTTCTCCTACCTCTTGCTTTGTTTGGTCAGCTTCTTAAGCCCACGAGTCAATCATGTCCAGCCAAGACCTGTGTCCCTCTGGACTATGGGTCTTGTGGAATCCAGTGGGGATTTTTGATGAGGGGTCATTGGGTTCCCTGCCTAAGACTTTCTGACTTGGAGCCTTGTGGCTAGCAAGAAGGTAGTTAGTATAACAAAAGATATATTTTATTATGCTGAGGGTCATCACACAAGGCTCACACTCTAAACCCCTAACTCTAGTCCTAAATCTAGCTCCCCAAGGCTGCTCTCCTGTAGGTATATCTTAGCTGAAGGTCAGGCCCAGACTCTAACAGAAGTCTCCAGCCCCAGGGCAGATCAAGCTGGTGTCTCTCCCGATACACAGGGCAGAGCATTGCTCTTGGTCTCTGATATATAAGTATACGATTATGGAGTGTCCAGTGGGTGCCATGGGGTTCTAGGCCTGTGTCTGGTTATCTTGTGTGAGTGATGTCACTGGGTTCTGGTTATCAGGTGCAGCCCTGAGTGTAGTGGGGATCCTGACTAAGCTATTTTTACATCTCTAGAAGGCATTTTTCACTATGCTCATTGCAGGTCTTGACTCACTGGGTCTACTGTTCCCATTAAGATGTCCCTAACGTAGTGCCTGAAGCTGGCCCCAGTCTCCACCTGCCTCACTGGGCATCCTCATCAAGGAAGGATGTTTCCCCCACCAGCCCAGGGACAGGCTGGGCTTGTGGCACAACCCTTAGTTAAGGGAGAGGTTCCACAGCCAGGGAATAAGAAGCCAGACCTGCTGGGAGGGTCTCAAACCCCTCTGGCTCCTAATCTGTAGAACAAGTAGTACCCAAGGCTTTTCATTCTATGAGACCAAGGAGTTAGAAACAAACAACCAACTTTTTTGCCCTGAATAGTGCTGGCTCTGCAGCCTCACCCAGTAGGCCACTCCCACTAAGCCCACCCACTTCTTGCTTCTTCTGCAGGCAGCAATGTCAACAGTGTGATTATTGCTCTGACTGATGGGACACTGATGGATAAGCCATTTAAGCAGACTTTGAATGAGGTAAGTCCAGTCTACAAGTATCAGCATTTTGCCTCTGATATTTAGGGCTGTGTTTTTGTTTTTTGTTTTTTTGTTTTTGTTTTTTTTTGTTTTTTTTTGTTTTGTTTTGTTTTGTTTTTTTAGCATATTCTTTCTTTTAGGCCCAAAAAGCTCGAGAACTCGGAGCCACTGTTTTCACCGTGGGTGTCCATGATTTTGACAAAACACAGGTACTTCAGACCAGGTGACCAAGGGCCCCTGTATAACCTATTAGAGCAAGATTGTAAAGGCATCTTCACAGTGCCAAGAAAGTGAAACTCTCACCTGCCCAAAGTGCCCTGTCTAGAATTAGCCACTGCAAAAGGGTAGCTCACATAGTTGAGTAAGCCAACCCCCTTTATAGAATGGGTAGGAGAGCTTCCCATTCCTGAAGTTTGGACTTTGAATGAAAGTTAGGGTGTGTCTGACACCCTCCTGTCATCATGGCCTCAGGGCAACAGTAACCGCCCCAGGTCTGGGAATCTGTTGCATCAGGCTTCTGGTTTCTGGCTCTGAGGTTCTAACTGGTAAATTTTCTCCTATCATAGATGGTGCAGATTGCAGACAGCCCAAGTCACAGTGTCGCAGTTCAAAAAGGGTTCTCTGCTCTGCAGAGCATCGTTGGCACAGTGAGCAAGTGGGATGTTGGGACACTGGGGAGCCCTGTCTGTATTCCCTAAGGCTTACTATCCTGCCCATCTCTCTCTCTCTCTCTCTCTCTCTCTCTCTCTCTCTCTCTCTCTCTCTCTCAGCTTGCTGCCAAGACATGTATTGAAGTGTTATCCGTGCAGCCTTCCTATGTGTGTATAAAAGGTAAGAGGCAAGGGGTCACAGACATGGGCAAATGGTATAACTCAAGAGGGTGTGTATGTTTGCACAGGTACATGTGATATATGTATTGTGGTAGTATTTATAGTGATCATCACCTTGACATGATCTGGAATTACCTAGAAGACAAACCCCTTAGCGTGACTGCAAGGGAGTTTCTCGACTGGGTTAACTGAAGTAGGAGACAGCATTCTAGACACAGGCAGCAGCTGGATCTTATGCCCTGCAGAAGAGAGAAAGGCAGGGAGCTCTAAGTCTCCTTTTACTACTGTGGACAGCTCGGCTCTTCCTCTGCCTTCTAGTTCAGGCAGCTGAGTCCTGACCTCCAAATTCTTCAGTGGGAGTCCAAGACTCCAGGCCTAAGAAGACAAGACTAAGCCGGGCAGTGGTGGCGCACGCCTTTAATCCCAGCACTTGGGAGGCAGAGGCAGGCGGATCTCTGTGAGTTCGAGACCAGCCTGGTCTACAAGAGCTAGTTCCAGGACAGGCTCCAAAACCACAGAGAAACCCTGTCTCGAAAAACAAAACAAAACAACAACAAAAAAAAGACAAGACTAAGCTTGCTTGGGGGCTGTACCACCCTCAACACCAATGTAAGCCAGAGGGCCATGTATGTGGGCGCTCCAGTACATAGAACTACATTGTAAGATGTAGAGACAACAGAAGGTGTGAGGACAGGCAGCATCTGAAGGCTCACTGGTGTTAAAGAAAGAAGCTGGCCCTGATGTTTCCATCCTAGTCTCTGGCTCTGGGCCGTCCCCGCCCCTCCCTGTCTTATGGAAAAGTGAGGAGTCTGCTATGCTGTAAAATGAAGGGAGGAAAGACCTCCGCTTCTGGGATAAAAAATAAAAATAAAAAGGCCAGCAGTATAGCCTGCCTCTGACTGACTGTCCTGGAGCCCACCGGCCTTGGTGTCTGGAAAGCTGTGTCGATACCCACATGAAAGCATGAGGTTGTCACTCTTTCCTGCCTAAAGCTGAATGGAGGCAACGGGTGCTTCCAGATGTCCATCCACTCAGTCACTGACCTGCTAAAGCGTTGACCAAAAGTTTGTGTTAAGCTCTCGCGTGAGAATACCGGTCAATTTCAGAGAAACCCGAGGCAGAAACCAGGACCCTGAATGCAACAGGATTGGCTGTTTGCTTGAGGTGGTACTGAGTCATCCTGTGTGCTATGGAGCCTGAGGAGAGTCCTTGTAGAGGACGGTCCTTGATCAACCATCCTGAGGCATCTGAAATACAAGGACCGCAGGAATGAGCTGGCCCTGGACCCCGAAGCAGCTATGCAGGCAAATGAGGAAAGGGTAGAGGAATCCAGTCTGTAGAATCACCCACCCATCCATCCTCACTGATGTTAAAAAGACCTTGCTAAACCTCAGAGTGATTGGCAGGATGAGTGAAGATGAAGAAGAATGTTTTGGCCTCGGGACCTGGATCTCAGAGGCGCCATCTCTTTATGAGGGACTCTCTTGGGTGGGTCAGGGACTGGACCCATTCCTTATGCCCCAGCCCTTATTCTTGGGGTCTCTATTCATATACCATAAACATAGGAAAGGACTGATATTCTCCATGCTCAGGGGTACCACAGGCATTAAGTAGGAAGCTGGTATCTAACCCTGTGCAAAGAAGGCCCTGCGTCTGTACAAGTGGAGTAAGGAATGCAAAAGTTTCCAAGCAGGAAGGTTTCAGCTGAGTTAGCCTAGCTTGGAACAGGGACTCCTGCATAAACTTCAAATTTGTTGGCTCAGGGATCCCAGAAGGACTCCTAACTTGGCAAGGCCCCTCCCTGTTAAATTAGCATGGATGCTCTGTAACATCCAGATAAGGATTTGCCCTACAAGTCCCACAGATGACGGTTCAGACACTGTTGTCATTTCAAGAGGGCTCCAGAGAATTCCCTCTTCAGGGTAGCCCTTCATGAAAGGTAAGACCAGAGAGAACATGGCACCCAACTCCTCTGCTCCAATGCTCAAATGTTCTTCTTGCAGGTGCCTACCAAGTAAACATTAGCGGACGTGGGTTTAGTAATGCAAAAGACATGAGCCAAGTTATTTGCAGATTCACGTTCAGTGATTCCAGAATTGTTGGTAAGTAGTCCCTTGGCATCCTTGAGGTATACGTTACCATACAGAATCATTTCTCTAAGTCAGCCTTGCCTTCTGTTCTTACTGACCATGTGCAATGGACACTGGAGAGTTAAGGCAGCATGGACCAATGGAAAAAAAGACCAAGTGGCATGCCTAGGTCTGTCTGCCTTCATACAAACATAGGTAAAGAATAACCCCCCAGCTCCCAAAAGCATCTGGAGGCTGGCATGACACTGGCCCATCCCCGACTACTGCATCCCGCTAGTCTGTCTTCTGCTCCCCTTCCCGAAAGCCAAACACCAGAAGCTGGTGTCTATAGTTGGGACAGAACAGCAGCCTCCAGACTGACCCTGGAATGTCTAAGAAGTCTTTTTGGAAAATTATTTATTACAACACACAGAGGGGAAACTAAGGATTGGGAAATTGGAAGCCTAGCCAGTGGGAATACAGCTCAGCCCTTGACTTATGCCCCAGCTCAGTGGACCGGGAAAGGAATGTGTGTTAAAGATAAGTGGCTTCTGTCACAGTTACAGAACTCTTCTCTGGCTCCCAAAGGAGCAAAAGAAGAATCTCTATTCCCTTATGAGCCTTCTCCAGCTCAGTAAACAGTCCAACTATCCACCCCCCCCCCCCTGGGTCTAAGCCTGATTGCCGTTCTTGGTCCTTATTTCCTATTCCTGTACCGAGTCTGCCAGCACTTCATCTTGCCTTTATCTTGAGCCTCCACTGTCCCTGGCGGACCCATCTCCCTAGCAGTAAAGTCCAAACTTCTTCCCAGAGCACACACTTCTAGCAACCTAGTAGTAGGTGCCTTACCATGTGCCTCTCACTTAGCCCGGAGCCCCCAGCCCTAAGGTCATTTCCTGACTGCTCTGAGCTCAGACATCAGCAATTCCCACAGAATCAGTGTCAGCGCACATGGTGCACCAAACACAAACATACCAAGAATTATTGTCCATGGTCTTGATGCCTATGCTCAGTAACTCACACTTCACCCAGTGCAGCTGCCTGATGGTCTCACCACTGGATATCTTTAGCTAATTCCAGGCAAGGCATCATTGCATTGTATGCTCATTTTTTAAAATAAGAAATCATATCTCTAAAAGAAGGAACCCATCACCAGTGACTAAGCATCTGTCTTCTCCCCAGTATGCCCCACCCATCTCTCTGCCCACCCATGTTACAGCACACTGCACTCTGCCTTTTGTGTTGTCCTGTGTGTGGTGTGTCTTGTCTTTTCTCTCTTCCCTGGGGTGCAGGAGCCCTTGTTTGTGTGTGCCTGCTGGGTATCAGAATGTGGTTCAGTAGTGGGCAGAGCTGGGACTCAGCGGGTGCCCTTCAACTAAGAGAGGCAGGGGGATCTAGGCAATCATCAAGCAGTGTGAGCCTCAGATAGAGGGTGACAGTGGAGGAAGGACACCCCTATTGATACTCTTGTGTCATTCTCTTTTAGATGAAAGCCCTACTGATATGAATGACAAAAGTATATCCTGTCCTGGACCAAGGATACAGCGTGCTGGAGAGTAAGTGCCCCTTGCTGGAGGTCCAGTAGTTTGTTTATCAGAATAAGTGCCCCTTGCCAGTAGCTTAGTGCAGAGTGCAGGGGTTGGTGTTTACCAGTTTGTGGGGAATCTGGGGTGTACCCTCTGCTGTGAATCATGTATCTGCTTATATGTGGGTTCCATTTCCCTTCCATGGGCCCCTGTTAGTGTCCCTGGTAGTATTCAGGAATACACAGTGCTCAGGCACTGCTGAGGGCAGAATGGAGGAGGTGATGGGTCTGAGGGTTCAAACCATTGTCTCAATACCTCCCTGATTCCTTAGCTCATGGCCATTATGGCCATATGACTTGAAGTCCTCTTCTGACCTCATCTGTAGCCTTCACCATCCCTGAAGAGGTTGACTTGTTATGCAATGGGGATTAAAGTTCTCTACCTACCTACTCACTATCAGGGAACTCTACGCTAGCGTGTCAGCATCGTTACACTGAGGGTTGATGTATGTGACCGTTCCAGCAAACCAAGGATTCCAGGGCTCTTTCCATTATCTAACTCTCTTTTCTGTGTACTAGGGAAGTCTCTCTTCAGGTCAGTTTGAACAATGGCATCTCCTTCATTGGGAACAAACTCATCATAACCGGTACCAACTGTGGGAGTACCAGGGTAAGAGCCCAGGGGTGTTACAGATCCACCTAGAGGTCAAAAGATTAGTCACAAAAGGCCTGGAGGTGCACACAAGTCCCTTAGGTAGTCTGTGGCAGTTTCTCAAAGAGCCACCTGGGACAAGTACAAGGCTTTGCCAGACACTGTCTAAGACATGCAGGGCACACGACAGCACCACATGGATGTGCCCAGAGTTTCTGCCAGCAGCAGTCAAAGACGTGTGCCAGTGAATCAGAGTCCCAGTAGCTAATGTGGACCCAAAACCTACTCAGGGTCTCACTTGCCAAGTACCTGCTGGCTTGGTGACTCCTGTCATTTACAGGGTCCTCTCCATCCCTGGCAGCCCCTCATTTACAGGGTCCTCTCCATCCCTGGCAGCCCCTCTGCGGACTTACTATCACCTACAGGGCATCCTTTCCCACTGTGGTGGGGGAACTATCTGGCCTGTGGACCCCAGAGCTCATTCAGGACCCCTGGGGCGGGGGAAGAGCTGCTCCTCAAGGGCTGCCTTCCCAACTCCACATCTGTCTTCCAAGCACCTGAGACCAGTGCAGTGTGACTGAGGGGTATGCCCAAGAGAAAGAGCTTTGTGTCCACCTGTGACAACTCTTGAGTTTCTCTCAATATTCAGAGGAAGGAGGGGTGAGCTTCTCGGACAGAACTGAGAGACACAGAGAGCAGCCAGGGAAGGGAGACCCACATCTCCCTGCCCTACACATCTTTAGTGGCCCAGCAGCCCAACCCTCTCCTTGAGATCTGATCACCGGTAGCCTAGTGCACTGTCCACCAAGCATCCTCAGACTCTGGGAGATACTGAGTCATCCTCTTCTAGGTTCAAGGCTGGGAAAGGTTGACTGCCCTCTGAGGACCAGCCTGGGCCACTAACTCAGCTGTAGCCCCTTGGGTCTAGGCAAGCTGGGTGGAGAGAGTGTATGCACAAATAAGAAACAAGGGGTGGGCACATGGGAAGAACCCACTGTTGTTATCAATCATAGGGGATTGCAGTAGGCAGCAGCAGTGACAGAAGCAGTAGCAGCAGCGGCAGCAGCAGCAGAAGCAGCAGCAGCAGAAGCAGCAGCGGCAGCAGCAGCAGCGGCAGCAGCAGCAGCGGCAGCAGCAGCAGCGGCGGCAGCAGCAGCAGCAGCAGGAGCAGCAGCAGCAGCAGCGACCCTAAACCCAACCAGCTACCGGAAGACAACCCAGACCCAGACCCAGCGGACACAACACAAAGCAAAGTCACCACTACTCCCAACAAATCACTAGAAAACTACTTTCACTGGAACTGGAACTGGAAATTTCTTATCTTCTTACCAGCCATGCTGGGGATTCTCATGTTGCTGTTCTTCTGTTGGATATGCTGCAGAAAGGTCAAGTCCACTGCCCACCCCTCCCCCTTGCCCTGGATCCCACATACATGCCCTCTCTCCAAGGAACAATGTCATAGTGCAGTATTATAAACCAGCCTGCTGGCAATTTCCCATCTGTTCCAAGGTCCTTCTGTCATCCAGGAGAGACACAGACTCTTAAGTTTAAAGCCCCAAGCCCTAGAGCAGCCTGGGTTCTGAGAACTCTCCAGCCTCGCTGATACAGAAGTTCCATTTAAGATGCCTGGGCTCTGGGCTGAGGCTGGCCCTGGAGAGAGACCATCCCAGCACCCAATGGCCCTAACCATCTTGTATCAGCTACACATCTACAGGCCTCATGTGGCCAAACCTCAGAGGTGCCCTGTATGTCAGGACAGGATCCCTCATGTAATCCCAGTAGTCCCATATGCAGGGTGATGCCTATCAGACACGATTAGTTACGGCAGAACTACCCTCGATACCAACTCCTTTCCCAATCCCGGTATAGCATACAGCCCCATACTGGGCTGCAGAAGTACAAAAAAGCAGCAGAGCCACCCTCCCCCAGTAGGGACTGCGGTTACTGTTCAGCTTCAGGGGGAAATGCATCCATCCAGAGACGTAACCAAAGCTTGGCTAAAGCAGAGCCAGATGCAAAGATGGCACTGGCATCCTGGGACAGGGTATGAGAAGGCAGAGGAGCTGGGGAGCTAGGATGGAAGGAACCCTCCAGAGAGATGAAGGAGTAGGAGGAAGTAGCAGCCCTGGGGGACAGCATGCAACAAGAGCTGCCAAGGCCCACCTCCTCTCAAGGGCACAACGAACAGAGAAATCTGGGCACTAAAATAGAGAGTGAGGAGGCTGCAGGATGAAAAAGGGAGGATGAAGGACAGTGAGCTTCTGCCAAGGGGAAGTGTGGGCTCCACTATAGTTGGGATGTGACTGCTGAGCAATGCTCTAGTTGTGGTCCTCTCCAGGGACCAGAACCTTGATTCGTGTGGCCTCCTCCTCTACCAGAGAGGAAGGAGATCTGCCTTAGGACAGGGAGAACCCACTGGACACAGCACCACAGGCAGTGGACACCTACATAGGCACCCAGAGGCCTTGTTGTCTCCCTGTTCCAGGTTAGGGTCCCCACTGGCTGCAGGGCCAAGGCAAAGCCCACCCTTCCCACTCAAGCCCACATCTGTCTGTTTTACGTTCCAGCGTAAAAAAAAGCCGCCGCCACCAGAACCAGAGAAGGTGAGTTGGGTAGGGGAAGAGGGTGGCACTGTCACATGGCATCATGAAGTCTTCATGAGGCATCATGAAGTCTGAGCCCAGAATTGCTCACCACTTTGGCAGGGAATGGGTGGAATGCAGATCAATGGGAAAGTCACGGGACCCAAAATAATGTCACCCAGACAGACTCCCTGCATTTCACAATCATTAGGGCTTTGGCCACCTGCACCACTGTGTGCAGCTGTCCACTGATGGACTGGTATCTTTCAGTGGATCCCATAGGACTCCTTATAGAATATCAAGGACACAAACAAGTTCTTAGTATAGAAGCTGCATGCGTCAGACCCAGGTCTCCATCTCCGGGCTCAGAGCCTTTGGGCTTCTCTACTCCTTGTCCATCACCTGCTGAAAGGGCTTCCCTGAGGTCCACCTAGGATGTCCAGAACTGGGGAAAACAGAGGATATCCTAACTGACCATGAGCTATGAGAGATGTTTCCAGATGAGCAGAGGGACCAGATGGGGAAGCAACTGTGTCTTCTTTGAGGGTGGGGACCAGAAGAGGTAACGAAAGGCTGGAGCAAGCAGAACCTGGACCTGGGCCTGGGCCGGAGTTGGAGCGGCTTTCCTGTCCATGTGGGAGAGTGCTAGCTGCAGAGTTGCCCTGGGAGCTTGCCCCTATAAAGGCCAGAACCAAGTGGAGGAGAATGCCACCTGGCACTGCCCACCCTCTGCACAGCCTCCAGGCTAGGCTTCTGCCAGCAAGAGTGGCCCCAAGAGAATCAAGAGCGCAGCAGTGGGCTCTTGGCATTTGGGGAAGCTCAGTAACTACAAACCAGAGGGGCTTTCTTGGCTGTTCTTCTCATGAATGACCTCCCGGGTGTGGATTACAGTCTTCCATTGGCTCCACAACATTAGTTGACTGACTCCCCAGTGCAGGGGTATGCAAGGCACAGTGTGCCCCTCTCTGTTCAAGAAGCTGCAGGCAAAACACACACTAACGCTTTTCACTTCCAGGATCCAGAAGAGAACCAGTCCCCTCCTCCTGTATCACCACCGGCTCCTCCCATCCCTCCTTCATCTCCATCACCTGTCAACCCAAACCCTACTGTGATCGTTGCCTGCTGTGGCTGTGGAAGCAGAGGCATCCAGGTGACTGGGAGATGGGCATGCTGTGACCCCAGGCTCAGCTCAGGGGGGATGGGCACAGCCAATCATCAATAGAGAGGTCTGACTGTGGACAGGATGCAGGACATGTAACACTTTACGTCTGAGGACACCCGGCTCCCTGTCTTTCTCCCAGGGCTAGAGGGGAGCAGCACACAGGAGGGTCTTCCAAGTGCTTGCATCCCTGTTTTTGCAGGTTCCCTGGACATGGCCACTGTGTCCTGTCTTGCCAGTCTCTGGTTCCCATGTCATTGTCTCTGCCCCAACGATGTCATTGCTGTCCCCTTAGTCTGCGGACGAACGAATCAAGATATGTTGGGTTTATCTTGCAAAGTCTGATACAGTAAAAACAAAAAAGACCAGTCACGAGTTACCATCTGTCCACCAAGAACTGGCCAAACGCCAGTTGCCCTGGCCAGCCAGGACCAAGGCTCTTCCTATACAAGCAGAAGAGCTGATTGAATGGTCTTAATGGCCACTGAGGTGGACAAAGAGAGACAAGATGGAGGTAGATGACATGGAGTTCTGAAGGGGCATCACAAGCTTCCTATGTGGAACTGAGCTCCAGGGCAAACAGCTTTTCATTTGAAGCCCCTCCTTCCAGGCCACCTCAAGAAAAGGGGAAGACAGACAGAAGCCCCAGATCCCAATATGGACACCCTACAAGAACAGTGCTAAGGAACAAAGAGCCCCAGTCCCCCTCGGGGCTTTGAAGTCTTCCTCCCTGCCCTGCTTCTATCTGTGGTGGGCCCATTGCTCCCTCCAGAGAGCTTCTAAGTCTTCGGCCATTGCCAAGGACATCTGAGAGCCATGCCAGCCCATTCCCTGCCTGTGAGCTACAGTGAAACCAACACAGGTCTCCTAAGAGGAAAACAGCCACTGCCCGTAGCCTGGCCTCCCTGGCTCATCCCCACCCACTCTATAGTGCCCAAGGACTCTGAGCTGTAGGGCTGAGACCATGACGCTCTCTACAGTTAGGTCCCGGGGTTCCTCCAGCCTCTCCTTGCTTTACCAGGGACCGTGGGGCAGCAGACCCTGATAGAGACCTGGACCTCTTGCCAGCCTGACCTATGTGGCCCAAGTTCTGGCTTTTCCCCCATTCCCAGGCCTTCTACCCAGACACTTCACAAAGCCCATAGCTCCCCTGGAGGCCTCTGCTTGCCACCACATACCCATCAAGCCTCTGAACTTCTCCAAAGCACCTTTTCTTCCACATTGTCCTAACGTCTATGTCCTCCAGTGCCCACTCCAGACACCAAGTCTTTAGACTCGTCCCTTAGGAGAGGATGGGATTTGACTTCTTGTACCCATGTTGACAGAGTTCTAGTGAGTGTCTTTGGGGGGGGGAGGGCAGCTCCCATGCGCTTCTGCTTGCTCATGTCCCGGATGCTTTTCAGGGAAACGTGGGCCCATGCTGCACCTGCTTTCACCCAGGTTACCACCAGATGCCATTGATGTGGTGTCCTCCCAAGGTCCAGGTGAGCCAGACCCAGGAAAACTCCAGGGCACAGAATGGCCATTGGTTTTGTATTTTGAACTTGCAGTGTTCCGGATCCACAATTTCATGAGAGCCGTGCACTGGAAAGGGTGGGTTTTAGCTGAGATGGTTTACTTCAGGGTTTACTGTGGCGGGAGGGGCCTGAAGTCCCCGACAAGGTACAAAGTTAAGTGAGCGTCAACCCGCACCTCTTGCTCCCTTCGAGGCACAAAGTAAGATGTCCACTGCTGTGCCCTCTGCAGGGACAAATAAAGGGAACTGTTTAGGACAGGGATTCAGTAGGGGTTGGTCTGGGTCCTAAAGCCTCTTGCAGGACAGTCAGCTTGCAGCACTGGGCTTGTGTAAGCAGAAACCAAACACTAATCCAGCTCACTTGGCAAGTTCAGACAGGTTCCCGTATGAAGGTACTCTGGGATGTTCCATCAGGCTGGTCTTCTGCCTGAGCAAGGAAGTACTGTCTAAGTGGGACCCACTTAAGAACATTCTGGAGACCTTAACCCTAGTCTAGCAGCAGGGAGTGGAGGTTGTGGTCAGGGACCCTGCTCACATACCATCTCCCACTATAGGCCACTTAAGTGTCCCGTGCCACCTTTCCCGAAGGCGCCTTCAGGCGCAGCCTCACCTAGACAAAAGCAAGAGGAATAAGATCCTGGTGGGACTGAGTGTGCCTCTCCTCCCGCTCTGTGTCACCCAGTGGGAAGGCGGTCCCTAAGCTCCCGATCCTGGGTGGGGGTGGCACGCAAGCTTGAGGACTTGAAAGGAGCCTGCTTGTTCCAGTCACCTCATAAGCTTTCGTGCCTCAGCTAATCACAACCCAGGGAATTCTTTACACGTTTCAGTTTACCGCAAACCTGGGCATTTATGGAGTAGAAGTTAAGTGGCTTTTCTGCCTTAAACTTTGACAGCGTGAATGTCTGCCCCGTGGCCCTCCACTTCCCGAAGGAATTTGTCTAGTTGGTGCCGTCTCCTTTGTAAATAGGCACAAAGTGCAGTCGGGTTTGGGAGTCACATCCACTGAGGTCTGGGCTCTCTTCAGTTCAGGCTTTATCTCTCTGCCTGTTAAACTGATGGAAATCTGGTTCGGTAGATGTAAAACTGAGAAACCTCCCCCTGCCCTCAACAGAGTATCTACCATAATGACGGGGCATTCCCAACCCCACCCATCTTTCTATGCCTACCCCCCTCCACCCAGGAGCTGCTTGGAGCCTGGAAACTCATTCCATTCTCACGACTGCCTCAGAGAAACTGTAACTTCCATATAGATAATATAGTCCATGGTCTAAGGACTTCCCATAAGCTGATGATGAACCAAACCAATAACTCTCTTGTTGGGAGGAAACTCGAAACCTTTCATCAGTGTCATGGTCAGGAGCCAGCCAGACCAGCACCGCCCCCCCCCTCCCCGCAGGCATTGTGTGTGTGCTTCCTTCTCTGTCCTGCCGTCTTCACAGCTGTGCAAACTGAGGCACTGGCATTTAGTTTGGGGCTCAGCATGGTGAGGCTCTTGAGTGGTACAACCAGGTTGTGAATTGACCCTTCCATCCAGGCTCTGTCCCAGGAGTCAGGGTGCCAGGGTGACCAACAGAAACATTCGGACAGTACATCTTCTAGTATAAAGTGTGATGTATGCAAAGTGTTTATGAATATTCATATCTCATGGGCCTTAAAGTGACTATTTAATGCCCAACATTCAGAATGGTCCTTTTTTGTTCTTGAAGTTTACAAATAAACAAGAGAGAAAAGAGCCGAGTTATTTACAGACATGCATAAACAAACCAACATGGAGATAAGAATTTCCACAGCATCTTAACTGTGCAGAGGAAGCAGAATTATTAGACCCGTAAAGCCAAGTGTGAATTCACCAAAAACAATCATGAGGTCCTTTGAAGTCTTTGCAGACATAATTTACGTTCACAGAAACCAGGTCTAGAAACAGTTTGAAGGAAACTACTCACAGTCCTGAGGTAGAGGCCAGATTCTTGAAGGCAACTTACGTAAAACAGCCGAGGAAAGGGGGACTTTTCTGATACCAGCCTAATCAACAGTCAGAGAAATTCTCCAAAAATAATGATTTACTTGGGAAATGTCTTACGGCCTTGTGAGGTGCTCCCACATTCCAGAGTGGGCCGTGCACATATAAAGAATAAAGGGAAACTTTAAAGACCAAATTAGAAGTTCACACAAGTTTCTCTGAGCCAATAACCTTTAGTCACAGGAATCATAAAAGAACAACAAAGGATCAAGAACAAAGGGGGCAATGGCACCAGCCCACACCTTTGAACTGGTCACTCATGGGCAGATGTCCTTAAAGACTATGTTTGTGTGTAAGGGATTTAAAAGGCATGTGGGCTACAGGCTGCTATGGAGTTACTGTGTGTATACAGCCATTGATGTGAACACTTTGTAAAGATCTTTGGGCAGTGTGGTCCTAGCAGTGTTTTGTGACCATTTTTCTATATGAATTATATTTCCTCCTTCATAAATAATCAGCTTTCCCTATTTTAATTTCGGTTTCTATTAGGACTTGACACATGTGACTCTGTGTTGGTTATGATTTGTTTTGATTCAAAGGAGCATTGAGAAGGCCCGCACTGCCAGCCGAATCCTGATAAGCCCTCGCTCTACCACTTCAGTGAGGCAACTTTAGCTTTCCGCCTCAATTCCAGTGACCTCTCTGTGACCTTCTGTTTTTGTCCTTCCTCCAGGGGAGATGCACAAACTATACTCTTGTGAATCCTAGCTGCACACATGCCTCCTGCAGCCCGAAGCTTTGCCTTCCTTCCAATAGAGACTATCTCCGTCTCACGAAACCTTCATACTCCTCAAGGATTGTTATTCAACCCAGCGGGGAGTGCTTTGGCATCTCCCAGGCATCCTGCAGCCCAAAGATCTGCCTTAAAGCAGGCCAAGAATGTCTCCCTGTTGCACCGAACCTGTGCTCAAAAGTGTGCCCACCGAGTCAGAAGTGCTACTACACTCTCGACCATTCACAGTCCTCATACCCAAACAAGTGTACCCCATCTCCCTCCAGGATACTGCCTCTGCTCCCTCCCCGTGCCCGCCAATCTGTAGAAACCCTTTGTCAAGCCTACCCTTGTCGTCCATCCTCTAAAGAACCAAAATTCTAAGTTCAAGAGGTGTTTGTTTCTTATATTGAACACGTGCGTCAGGTCTTAGATTGTGGGGAGAAAGCTACAATTGGCTGCTGATCCTCAGGCTCCGTATCTAGGGAGATGCTCGCCATCTGAGGTGAGATTATGTTGCATGGACCAGGCAATACCCACTTTTCTCACTTCCTATAAGTCTGTCTTCATCTGTCTGCAAAAGCTTGGACAAATGGGATCTTCCTCGAAGGTCTCTGTGAAACTCTCTTCTGAGTTTTCTTTCCCTCAGAGAAGTACTTGAATGTTTCAACCTGATTGCATGTTCCTGGTTTCCATTTTCTAGATCCTTGAATTTTGAATGTATCCTAGGAGGAAAGAAAGCCCCTTCTGAAAGCAAGACTTCTCTTTCTAGATAAGCCATATACTCCCAACATCCAAGAGAGCCTCCCACCTGCCACATCAGGCAAACCTCACCTGAGTGTCCTTAGAATCAGGCTTCAATAAAGCTGAGTGTTACAGTGTTCAGCCACCCAGCCTGTGACCCGTGCCTATGTGATCCAGCAGAGACCAGATACATCAGCATGAGGACCCAATAAGGGGCCCCAGGGTCTTCTGGAGACTCCCCAGGGAGGCCATGACACAGGCTATTCAGTAGTCCCAAATCTCGATCATTGAAGTGTCAGCTTCTACCCTCTCCATTTCCCTGAAGGTTATACTCAGGCATTGTGGTTGGATTTCTCTAATGCAAATCCAGGTGGAAATATGCCAACCTTGGCTTGTAACTGGTTTTGACTAAGTCGGTGGGTAATGCTGGTTCTACCATCCTCCATGTTTCCACAATGAAAGCCATGCTGGAATGCTTTATGTTGTGTGAAGGGATTTGGGGGGGGGGGCTTTTTCTCTCCATTGCATAGTGTTGACCTCCAAAATCAAGGGATTCCTGTTACTACCCCAACTTCCCTGTTTGGTACTGCCCTTGACGTCATCACAACTTGGGCTGCATACTTGAGGCCCATCTTTGACCTGGATGGGACCTGAGCTTCTCCCATCCTTCCAGTCCTCTCTGGCTTCTGCCAAACATCTCTTCTGGGAGAAGAATGGACAAATTGAAACAGAGGTATCTGGTGACAACGTGTGAACTTAGATACCCGTGATTCTCTCCTATTGCCAAAGACCTGTGCTGTGTCAAGACTGTGACAGGCACAGGTGGAGCACAGCAGACTGGGTTGGGCCTCAGTGGCCAGGCCTTCTGTCTCTACAGTAGCCCAGGGTTCTGTCACTACCCAGCAGGCCCTGCCTTTAGCAGTCAGAGGTTGTCACTTTTATCAAAGTGGTACAGCTAAAACCTCCAGAGTGCAGATGTGGCCTTGGTTTGTAGGATGCCCTTTCTCAACTCTTGACCCTCAGCCTGGAAGCTAAGAGACGTCATAGCCGGGCCTAGGGGTATCTGCCCACCTAACTTTGTGCTTAGTCTGCCTATGTGTCTGAGGCACCACCAGAGAGTCATGGTGTCCTTGCCAGTGTTTTCTGAGGCTGGCTGTTGCCTTCCTCTCCGCAGAGGAAAGGATGCTCTGCTCTGAGCATTTATGAGTGCTTTCCTGAGGTCTCACAGTCTTTCAGGGGAGGGACCAGGGTCAGTGCAAAGAGGCTGCCCCTCAGTGCATCCTGGGGACTTTACCCTTGTAGCCGAGGTAGAAGATTCTTCCTGGCTGCAATGCTCTGGACCTCCTCACTGCTTTGCTTAACCTCTCATCCTGGACTCCCGTTTGGGCTCCTTGAAGCCAGGAGTGTCCCTCACACCCCTAGCAGTGACAGTGCAGTGTCCCTCTGCAAGCACATGGCACAAGCCCACCTTCACACTCAACAGGAATTCATGTTCCCCAAAGCTGAGGTCTCAGTGCTATGACTCCATCCCTTTGTCTCTGTACCACGATTGGCCCAGAAGGTAGATGACTGGATGGCAGAAGAGAACTCATAAGGTAATTATTAAAAGACCCCCTCCATCTTCCTCCTCCTCCCATTTTCCTCCCTCTTCCTCCTCCTCCCTTCTCTCTTCCTCTCTCCCCCTCCTCCCCTCCCCATCTCTCTCCCTCCCCTTCTGCTTCCTTCCCTCCTTTTTTTCCTCCTTCCCTTTAATCCCATAACTTCTTCTTTTTCTACCTTTTCATTCTGTTCTCAACTTCACCTTCCCAGCAGGCAAGTAGTGAGGGGTTTTTCATGTTTCTTGGTCAGGATTCTCCAGAGGAGCAGAAGTAACAGATCAGCATGGGGTATGGAAAGCAGGTAACATTTACACTATCTCCACTGGCTCATGAGGTTACAGAGAAAGGGAAGCCCTGTGTCTGCCCTGGAGAGGTGAGAGGGAACATAAAGTCCAGTCAACTTACATTGAGACCTCAATGCGTCTATCCTCCTGAAATACCTGTGTGGAAACCCCTACCCTCCCAGTATGACGTGAGGCCATAGAGGGTGACTAAGTCACGAGAGCAGAGTCCCCTCAGTGGGATCCATCTGTCTTTTGAGAACACAGCCAATATCCCCACAAAGAGCTACAGGACTGACTGGCCAGGCACAAGTCTCCTCAGCCTTAGACTCCACCCTCCTGAGCAGTGAGCAGCAAATTCCTATCGAAGCCACACAGTTTATGGTAGTTTATCACAGCTTCCAGAATGATCAGACCCAGGGGAAACGGATGGGCTTGGGGGACCTTCCTCCATCTTTCAGGACGGAAACTTCTAAAAGGTGGCAGAGTCTCTGAATAGTGAGGTGGTACAGAGAGTGTAGGGGGGGCAGAAGTAAGGGTCACAGAGAGGTCATCTTCATTGTAACAATACCATAGGGTGGCTAAGTAGGGACCAGGCCCAGAGACCTAGCCCCACCTGTCCCGTCTGGCTGAAGCTGAAGTGAAATATCCATGAAGGTTGGTGACATGAGGGCAGCCATGATAGCTGGCTGGTGCCTTCTGGTCATAAGACTTTTGTCCAACACCAGAGGAAGAGGGTCCCCAAATGAAATGTATCTCCAATTATAAAGAACTCTATCTCTTTTTTGAGTCTCTTAGATAAAAGAGAAAGCTTGCTAAAATGCCACAGGGTACTTCAGAATGCACCCCCAAATATCAAGTGTACATCTCCTTTGTCAGCTGAATTCCCTTGGGAATAGGGGTTGGCTTTAAGGACGTGGCTACAGACTGAGCAGGTGTCTCCAAAGTGATCTTCAAGGTTTTGAGGAACCTGGCCTACAGTCTCCCCATGTGTGAGCCTGCTGCTCCACATACTTTATTCCTGCTCCCTCACCCACCTTTCTCGAGATCCCCAGGAAGCAGAGAGCTGTGTGGGCAGAGAAGAGTCCATCAGCCTGTACCCACCCAAGGAGGGCCTCTCCTGCCAGAGAGAGCCCCACCCCCGCCTGCTGCCTCCATACTACAAACTGGCCTACATGGACAACGCACAGCCCAGGCAGTGGGGAGCCTGAGAGTCCCACCAACTGTGCTCAAGAATCAGGGGCTGTGTATGAACTCATCTCGCAGATGCTGTAGCCGAAGGAGCAAGACCAGCACAAGTTCCAACCAGACAGGGTCCAGCACTGGAAGGAAGAACGGACACAGACTCCCACCTCTGACTAAGATGATATCTATAACTGATACCCACCGGCAAAGGGAAAAATCGTTTTTCTCCAATGGGGTGTCACTATGTGAATTAACACATTTTGGGGCAGGCCACGCTCCCAGGAGTTACTGGGCAAACGCAAACATGCTCAAACATGTACCTGGTATGCGTATGGTATCATTTTTGTTTCGTTTGGCATAGTTTTCATCTTATCGGTCTTTTGCTTGTTTATTTTTATTTCTGTTTTTGTGGGTGTGTGGGTGTGTGTGTTTCTTGGGTTTTTGTTTTGTTTGTTTGAGAAAAGATGGGAAAAGAAACCTGAGGTTGAGTGGATAAGGGAATGAGGAGGATCTGGTAAGAACTGGGGAGGAGAAAACACAGTAAAAATACATCGTGTGAATACCTTCAGTTAAGAAAAAAAAGAAACATTGGTGTGTGTGGTGTTAACAGCATCGTTGCTGCATTGGTTTTTCTGAGGTGCCTTGACTGAGCACCTCAGACCAGGACCAAGACAGAGATCTTTCTCTGGAGGCCGGATAGCTCAGCTCAAGCCGCACCCACCAGCTTCCTGTCACATGTCAAACATATGTCCTCACGGTGACTTGGGGCCCAGCCGCTCAGGCCAGGCTGCAAGGCTGTGGAGGAAGGCACATCTTCCCTTGGACAGATGAGGGAGAGGCGACCCCGGACTCACCATCCCTGTGACAGTTTGGGGAAGTCAAGGACACCAAGGCTAGAAGGCCAAGGTTCAGCTCCGGATCCTGGAATTAACTCAGGAGTCTCAAACTTAGAGGCGTAATTCGTGTGACTAAAATTCCTGCCGCTTTTTTCCCTGTTCACTGTGGTCTGAAGGTCTCAGGAAAGGGAACCCAGAGAGCCGTGGGCCTGGTGGGACTCTCCAGGCAAGGAGGAGGCCAGGGCTTAGTTAAGAGGCAGACACAGGCTACATTTGTGGCAGCTGTGTCCTGAGGATAGAGGGGACTGAGAATAAACACACTCCTGCCTGGGCAACCTCATATCTTCATTCTGTGCCCAGAAGTCCCAAGACGTCATTCTGAAATCTGGGGAATGGAGAGGGAGCCGGTGTTAATGCTGTAACTCCAGAAGGTGGCGCTCAGAGCTTACGTTTGCCCACTAAACCGCTCTCCAAATTCCACAAAACAACTACAAGACAGACTTTTGTTCCATCTTTTAGCTGGCTTTGTACTACATTTCTTTTCTTTCTTTCTTTCTTTCTTTTTTTTTTTTTTTTTTTTTTTTTGGTTTTTCGAGACAGGGTTTCTCTGTAGCTTTGGAGCCTGTCCNTTTTGGTTTTTCGAGACAGGGTTTCTCTGTAGCTTTGGAGCCTGTCCTGGCACTTGCTCTGTAGACCAGGCTGGCCTCGAGCTCACAGAGATCCGCCTGCCCCTGTCTCCC